CCTGCTCTAAAGTAGCCATCCCTAACGAGCCATCCAATATAAACAACACCCACAGGTGTGTGCCATGGGCACGGCGCAGTCGCAGCGCCTGGCCTTCTTCTGGCTGCCTACGATACAAAAACAGCTTTAACATTTTGCATAGAATCGATAGAACGGTATTTCTTCTCCAGAATAAAATACAACTGGTTTTACACATCGTATAGTTCTACAGGCGTGCCTTTTCGTATATACCCTAAAATTCCATAGATAAGAGCGGTTGAAACTACCGAAGAAAAATGAATTGGAATGAAATTGAAATTGAATGCAGTCACCCTTTAACTTGATGAATGGATAAATAAAAATTGGAGGAGAAGCTTAGAAGAAGCTCCGCCCCTCAACTCCAAACCCCGCCCACTTAACAAACAATTCATATATAAAAACAACGATCCGTTAAAATCGCTATTTTTCTATATGAATTGTTTATTAAGTGGGCGAGGTTTCAATTTGAGGGGCGGAGCTTCTTCTTAACTTCTTCTTCGAAGTTTAATTTAACCATCCATCAAGTTAGAGGGGTGACTGCATTCAATTTCAATTTCATTCCGATTCATTCTTCACCGGTAGTTTCAACCGCTCTCATCTATGGAATTTTAGGGTACATATTTGTGGGTCACGTCGTCGACCCGTGCAGGTAAAATAACCTGCAGTTCTGACCGCGTTGGCGCCTCATGGCCCTTGTTTACCACTTCTGTGCATAAGCTTACCCAGCCACTTTCTTTATCCTTCTCTAACGATTTTCATAAGCGAGTTTGTCGACTTTGTTATCAAAAAGAAAAATATCCAAAACCTTTCCCAATCAGTAGCAATTAGATGTTATTAGTATTTTTAAAAAGAAAATTTTTCAAAAAACTCACCTAATTCGTCAGCACAGTGTGCGCAGCGGTGCTTTCCGCTGACCGCCACCACTTGCTCATTGGTGACCGGTTCACGGTGGATTTCCTCACGGAACGCTGCACTCATTTCACGTCTACCGTAACCCGAACTTGGGCTCAGTTCGCGTTGTTCTCGTCGTCGATAATCCGACGCAAAGCTCGAATCTGCAGCAGTTGTAGCTGTCCCACGAGCTTCTGCTGTCCCGTATCTTGAAGAGTCGTAGTGCCGGGTACGGTAATCCGGTGTGTAGCTCTGAAAAGTGATGTGTAGAGGGATCCCGTAAAGCAGAAATAATCAAAGTACCTTCTCGAAACGACCGTAATCAGCTGATCTATCGTATGCTTCTGTATGTGATGATGCTCCATGTATTGGTTCCCTACGGCTGTCAAACGATCGATAACCATATTCCGTGGTCTGTCGCTCTTTCTCGAGCTTTCGGGTTTCTTCTAGCTTGCGATTGATGATTGCAGGTAGGTTCCTGCAAAAGTGGAGCACTCAAAATTTCAAAATTCCGCTTGTAGAAAAACTTCTCCAGATAGGAGAAGCGTTGTTTTGGGCTCCCGAACGCGTTAGTTTCAATGCAAGAGCTTTTAAAAGAAAGTGGACATAAATTATTCCAAGAACCGCTCGAATTAAGATTTCCCAACAGAATTTCCCCCACCCCTGGATAAACTCAGGGAGCTACCTACTCATGACCCCATTGGGACATCCTTCAAGAGAGCAAAAGTAGACCGAAACACCGTTCAAAATCTTCTTTAAGCCTACTGTATTCCCATAAACTTCAGTTTCAACAGAAGTGCCACACAAACGTACCCTAGCGAAGCACTCGCGTCGCGGATGCGTCGCGTGTCAGGCGCGTAGCCCGGGGCGGGTTGCCGCTGTTGATCGATTACGTCACGCCAATCGCGTGATTCCTGAAACGAAATAATCGAAGTCACTTTAGTTATATAGTTACCCAGGCCAAGATTTGCGTTTAATTCGGGTTGGAATGAAACCAATAGGGATGGAACTTCCTAGAATGGAGGCTAAAACGGTCACAAAGTAGGTTCGCTACAAAAAAAGGTATCAAAAAGTAAAAGTAAAAAGGTACCAGTAATCTAATGGGGCTCGACTACCTGAAGGATAATATCTATCACTAATTTACATGACACAATGAAGGATTATCTGCCTACAAAACAACCATAAACACTGAATACTAGGAATACAGAAACACAAAAGGACAAGAC